CTTGATGTCTGGTGATTTAACATGGCAGAGCTTTAGAAATCTTCTCAAAGTAAAATATTTGCCTGGGCAAGTAGCCTGAGTGGGACCGGGGAACAAGTGGCTCTTTCACTTGAGGTCACAAAAGAAAAAAGTAGCAGAACAGCCTCAAGCTCCCCAGTTACTTTATACTTTATTGGATCCCCCAGGATCCAAATGTCCTGTTATTTTAAAAGGGATGAGGAGGAAAGCACAAAATAATCCTAGACACCACTATTCTTGAGGACGATTCTAGGGGCAGGCGAGCAAGGCAGTTGCCTTGGGCACCAACTTCCAGCGAACACCATATCTCTGTGACACTCAGGGTTTTTTGGCGAGTGGAGGTTAGGTGGTGATTTTTACTTGTTTGCTTGGCCTCTGGAGCAGCAATTAACCTTTTTCCACCCTGGCTGGTAAAATTGCTTCGGGCTGCTCCTGATTCTTCTGTAGGAGGAGAAGAGCAAGATAGTAGAATGGAACAGATGCTGCATCTCCTTAGGAAGGAGGAGGAGGAGCAGGGTTGCTGGAACTGCTGCTGTTCATTTAGTGGAGTGGTGTCAAGAAGCCAGAGCACTCCATGTGGAGAATTGCTCCTGGGAGGCTGAGGGTCTCTTGCATGTCCAGGAGGGCTTGTTATTTATTTGGGGCGAGGTGGGAGTCCTAGAGCTCTTTAATGGAGTTGATACAAAGTATGCTAGCCTTGTGGAAGATTACTTGCATTAGTATGCCCCCATTCCCCAAAGCTGCTGCTTTATTATTTCTCACATTTTCCCTACTTCCAAATAGTAATTGCTGTACTATTTCTGATTGGAAATCATCTTCCCATTATTTATACTGTGTCATCTAAACCAAAGTGCCACATTGTCTGTTGCTGAGAAACTGTTTATCTGCTGTTGTACAAAAAGTTACATAACTTCGTTGGTCTTTCCATTTTTTTCTCTCCTTCCAACAACTGATCCCCTTATCTTTTTCTTTTCACTGTTTAATTTCTAAAATGAACATAACGAAGACTTCTTGTGAAGATTCTTTTTCAATGAGCAGATTTATTTCTGAAATTGTTTTATTAAGCAGTTTTCTTAATTTATAGAAAGTAGCACAGTACATTAAAGTACGATATGCATGTTTTTTCCCAAGTTTGATTTATTTTTTATTGTTTCCAGGTATATTATTTTAAAATATAGTGATGTGTATTAATGTCTAGTTTTAGCCACAGGTCGAACGATAAAGCCTTAAGACTGCCCAGAATAATTAGAATAATTTATTTTATGGAATATTCGGAGTACGTACTCAGTGTGAATGTGAGGACTGCCCAATATTTATTAATACACATTCCGAAGCTATTCTTTAAAACCCTGAGTGTGAACAGTAGTATCTTTAAATGAGTTCTTTTTTCATTTCATTGTACTTTTTTAAACATTGTGATTAGGCAATGAAAATGAGAAACTGAGCATTTTTAGGTTTTGATATGAGACTGAGCTGATTGCTAATACAGTTACAAATAAGCCTAAGTGAAAGTAACTAACACGTGTTTTCCAATTGTTCACTGCAGTTACAGTATATTACAAAAGGTTGCTTTGTGCACAATGTATTTTCATTAAGAATAGCACAGGAGAATTTACCATGTCTCTGTTGCAATAGTATTAAAGAGTGTACCTGATGTTTTGTTTGTGTGTAACTTTAAAACAACCCAGGATTGTTATTAAGTTAAAGTTCTCCCCAGCCTATGGCTTATTTGACTGAAGTGATTAAGGCACATCAGTTTCATAGCCAATGGTACATAAGGGACTTGTTCCACATGCTAGTGCAGAGGGGAAAAAAGGGGGCTGAGTACTCCCCACCTACTCCAAAATGGGATACCCAGATTGCTGGTTGGCGGGGAGAGAGGGGCAGGTTTCTTAGGGGTGCTACTCCCCACCACCATACTGGTGGCGGGGGGGGGGAGCCTTGGTTCTGCCTCTCGTAAACCAACCAGCACAGCTGAGCCTGAGTGATGAGTGAAGTTAATCTGCTGCTGGATAAAGGTTGTCAGATTGTTGTCCTCTTGGAGCAGTGGGAGAACCAGGGAAGGAATTATGACTAACAACTATTTCCCTGTAAAAAGAAGAACAGGAGTACTTGTGGCACCTTAGAGACTAACAAATTTATTAGAGCATAAGCTTTCGTGGACTACAGCCCACTTCTTGTGCTGTTTCTGGGACAGCATAGCTATTCATCTTCACGTTACTCAGGGTAGCACACAGGCTTATCTTTACTACCAGGGAGATCTCATTATGATCATCTGGTCTGACCCCCTGCATGCTGCAGG